TCATAGTAGAGTGGGGATTTTAAAGTGGTTAATGCACAGCTTTTCCCAATATATACCGTCAAGTATTACTCTTGTGTAATTACTCATTACTCAGGTGCCTGAAATTAGCTTCCAATCACTGTCCCCTGCATACCTTTACTGCGTATATTGGAGAGTGTGTTCTCAGTGTTTTAGTATCTCTTAGCTGTTGGTGGATTTTTCTGCGGGTTGCCTTTAAATTTCATTTTGCACTAGTTAAACAGATAATGCTCCTCACATCTTTCATGATAATTTAAGTCTTTTTTATACTTTTATAATTTGCTGGACTCTTTGGCTAGTCCTCACCTTCCTACAAGTTTCCTACTGGGTCTCTTGAGATATGAATTGACACAGCATCCAGTAATGGTCAGACCAGCCTCAAATACAAAGGTAAATCAGAATCCACAGCCCTATTAAAGTATTGTTTGTTTATTTATATACATTTTTAGATATACAAATCTGATTTATTATTTTGCTGCAGTGTTACTCTGGCAGCTCATTTCCAGTTGCTCAAGGTCTCTGACTCATGTGTCTTTGACAAAATTACAGGTTTCTAGCATAAAAAGCCCCAAGAGGACAACAGGAAATGTCTCCAAGTTGCTCCAGGGGAGGTTTAGATTGGATATTAGAAAAAAACTTCTTCACATAAGGAGTTGTCAAGCACTGAAAGAGGTTTCCCAGGGAAGTGGTTGAGTCACCATTCTGGGAGGTATTTAAAAGAGGTGTAGATGTGGCACCCAGGGACAGGGTTTAGTAGTGGACTTGGCAGTGTTAGGTTATCAGTGGACCTAATGATCTTTATTTTCTATTCTATTCTATTCCGTTGCGCTCCATTCCATTCCGCTCCATTCCATTCCATTCCGCACCATTCCATTCCATTCCATCTTGATTTTTTTTCATCTTCCGAAGTGCAGTTTTTATACTTCACATTAAAATACACATTATTTAGTTATGCACATAGTATGACAGTTTGAAAAGTCCATGCTATTCTATGCTGCACTCTTCTCCACCCCCTCAGCAAATAAGTCACTTACTTAAAATGTTTTCAGTAGTTGACAAGATATTTGATATAGTTGATAATATATTTATGTAGCACTGGGCCAAGAGGTCATTACTGTACTACTATTGTACTACTCTAAAGGACTATGTCAAAAATCAGCAATGATCTCCCACTTCCAAATCCATTTTCAAATCTGTCAGTTATTTAGTTTATTGATTCAGTTATTGCACAGAAAGTAAATTTGGCATGGGTACTAATCAAGCACCTTGAAGAAACATGACTATACTATATGACCAATCTTAGTTCTATCAACCAAACTTGAAATCAGATCAAAAGAGATACAATTTTTTTTGACAAAATCAGGTTTCCATAAGTCACATATCTTTTTTCATGCTTTCTTAAAAAGTCCCATATCAACCATTTTTTTGCTATTTATTATGAATAAACTAACTCTTTTAAAATACTGTCACAGCAACAAAGTTTTTCCAATCATAACACCTCTTCACCAGGGAATGTATCATGCTTAGAATGTTTGTATTTTAATTATTATTTCTGGTTTTAGCAATGATAATTAACTAAAAGTCACCAATGGTCTTTGCAAAGGACATGCACAATGCTAAACTTGGGAACACACGTTCTATTAACGACAACAAACAGGCACGCCATGGAGATGGGATAGGCTGCAGAAGGAATATATATATAAATTAAATAATTCAACCTCCATCCAAATGTGTCCATTAAAAGACGAGATAGGAAACAAGATGAGTGGCAACCTGAAATACTAAATAATTAGTTTCCTTTGATTGCTTGCCAAATAAAAATTTCCACCAAAACTAGTATTTATTAAAAACCATTCCTAGAAAAAACAAATTTTCCTTCAAAAGGTGTTTCTAGTCAGTATCTAAGCTGAACTTTCACTAATATACTGGAACACTCCTGAGAAAAGGGTAGCAGAGTGTAAACACAGAGAACAGGAACCTAGTCCTTTGCCCAGTGACTGCCAGATGACGTTTCTCACAACACATTGCCTTTCACCTTTTCAGGCATTCATTCAGGAGCAGAAGTCACACTTTTTGAGTAATGAATGGCATCCTACTTTCATCTGGATTTTCTTTCAAAATCTTCAGTCAGGATGTTTGCTAAAGCTGAAGTTTATAGGGCTTACAAATACTGCAGAGGAAAATCTGGCCACTCTTTTACTTCCTTGTGTATTTCTATGGGTTAACCTGCCTTCTTGGAGAACGGAGGTGACTTCCCTTGATCAACAGACAAATTAATCTGGATCCAAGTTTTGTGTCACAAAAAGAGGCCTCAGACCTCAAACTTTCTTTCTTAGGCCTTTGTTACTGTTTTCCTAAAATACCAAACTAACCCTTTTTTGCTACTTCCCAAATCCTTGATCTCAAAGACAACATTCTCAGTGGCATTCTGTGGTAAATCTTCACGCAAGATGGATTACACATTAGTGCTCACTCTGGGCAATGAAAGATTTTTTATCCCTTGACTGCAATGCAAACATGCTACACCTATGAACACCAGAACTTCCATGCATGCAAAGAAAATTTGGGACTTGCAGAAAGGTATAATGGTCCGTCCTTACATGCTGTCAACTCCAAGATCCCACTTTATGTGTTATAATTCCTCAGATGTTTATAATTCCTCCATTCTTCTCAACAAATCCCTTTTCTCCTTTTCGACAGCCAAAAAAGGAGAGATTGGCTTTGCTGTGAAGTCTCCAGGAGAAAATTTGCTCAATCATATGTCTTGCTACAGGGTAATGACAGTGAGTCCTTAATGGCCCGCTGGGACCACGAATGGGTGAAAAGAAATCATGTCTAGAAGTCAACCTGTCTTTAGATATGTACCTTAAAATGCTACTACTTAATTATGGATTGGGCATGATTTCTTGTCTAAATCCTGAAACCTGCAGTGAAAAATTCCTCTGATGACCCAATCTTCTTTGAGACCTTCTGGAGATGTTGCTTCCTGTCCACCCTGACCACCCTGACTTATGCATAAGAATATTTTTAGTTTTCTCTCATTTTTGTTTTTTGCTTCTAGTATTTCTCTCCAGTAATATGTGACTTTCCACATCTTTTTTTCTTTACTTCTTTATCTTTTTCTCTCCACTTACTTGCTTTGTCACCACTTTTCCTCAGTCCTTCCAGCTTACCTACCTCCTATTTCTTTCACCATTTCCCTCTCCTGTCTCTCCCTTGCTATAATTGTCCTTAGCCCCTCCTTTTCTCCACCTTTCCTCACTTCTGTTTTCATTGTGATTTCTGACCTGCAAAGTGCTATGCCCGCAGGTTCTTCAGCACCCGCCAGCCTCTTCAACCAAGATCGTCCAGCAGCTCCAGCTGCCTGAGTTAACCCAGAGATTCCAAAGAGGCTGAGAGGCACTTGCCTTCCAACAGGAGCTAGAGGAAGGTTAGCACTGCCCTGAAAGTTGAAGCAGAAAGGGTCAGTTTGCCAAAGCAGAGAGACTGGCAAGAAGACATGGTGCCAGCCACATGCTGCCTCATTTATGTTCCCCCAATTAAAGCAGTCTGTAGGGAAAGTAGCATGCCACTGCACTGGTGTGCTGCCCCTCTGAGTGCTTGTTAGTGCTCACCACACTCAGCATTTCCTCTCACTGATTGATAGGACGATATGTGTGTGTATGGCAGAGAGAAGATTCATTACAGCGCATTAGCCAGACAGGCAGACAAATGCCCACAGGGGCAGAAAAGCTGCAAGGAATAAATAAAAACTTTATTATTTTTCTAAAACTTCTTTTCCCCAGGCTACAGTGAGGAACACTGGAGGAACAGGAGAGTGGAGATAGCCCAGAAGTGAAAGGGAGTGGTAACAACTGGAGGGAAAGTTTATTAGCAAAGAAAGGTTTAAAATATTCATTGTTGGATTCAGAGTTTGGATAGTAGTTGAATCTCTATTTATATTTTTATTTTCAGTCCCATTGCTAAATGGAAAGAAAGGGTCAGTGCGTCAGATACCAAGTTATCAGGACATTCCTGATGTAACATGTCTGAAATGTCTGAAACCTGGCTGCTCCACTCACTGGTATTTATCATCCCTCAGTTTAAAAAATGAAAAACAAACTACTACCAGCCTTTATCAACAGCTGCCACCATGTGGTATTTGAAATACCACAGTTACTTCCAAATAAAGAGAAATATGGTGGTGTCATCTGATCTGTTTAGTGATGGGTTTTAAGCATCCATTCTGTAACAGCTTGTAATAGGTGATGTGGCTGGTGTGGGGTAGCTCTGCACCCCTGCACACACTCTACTGAGATAGAGTGAGTAGCCTGTGCAATATTGTCCCTTACACCGTCACCACTGTAACAAACCACTTGCCCATCACCTGTCCTTGGACTTTGGAGTCCAGACTACAGTCCAGAACTGCCCTAGGCTGTAAACAACAGTGCAAGAAAAAAATACCCAAATGGCTGATGCCAAAACCACATCTGTCAGATACAGATTTGCCAGGAGGCAGCATCCTCTCTCCCCTTATCATGAGATGCTGCCTGCTCTGCCACAGTGCGAAGAAGCAAACAGGGAGCTGCTGGACCCTGTTCCTGCTGCCCCCCGGCTGGCTTTTAGCTTGTCTGCTGCCTTGAAATACGTTGTGATGTGGAAAGAAAACTCCAGAGACATTCCATTATCCAAAAGGAAGACAGAGTGTAAATTGTCAGCCATGGATCAGCAGAAAGTTGATCCTAAGATTAATGATTCAAAGAACATGTTTTGAGGCAGCACAGGGACAAGACCTAGGTAGTTAATACCCTGCCATTTGCTTGCTTGAGCCCTATGTATTTTTTAGGACATGGTAATTTCAACAGCTTCACCCTCACTTTCCTCCTGGATTTCATTTAGGTGCACTCCAAAATGAGCTAATCATGTTACAATTAAGAATAGCTTCCTACAGATAACACAGCATTCCAAAACACGCTTTGTAAATCTGTTGGTAATATAGGTACCTCTGAAATTGCCGGAGCTTTGTCTGATGAAAAGTGAGTTCCCATCGGAAAAGATCCATTGAATGCAGGATGCTGTGAAACTGGCATGTGACACTGTGAATAATGTGCATGGGTTTCTTCTCGAGGGTGCTTGTCTGGCCACTTTTGATCCTGTAGCTTTCCTCTGAGCTGAAACTGTAGTCCAGTCAGTGCCTGCAGCATTGCTTTATTTCTTCCCTTTCCACTATTAGCAGAGCTGAAAAAATCACTATAAAACACACACAAAATAGAAGTAGCAATTTATTTTTTTGAACTCTACTCTACTATTAAAAGAAAAAATCCTTAAATATAAACCCAAATTAATGTTATGGTTATAGGGCACCCATAAGGACACAATCCCTAAGATACTACTGAAGAAAAAAAAAAAAAGATGAGAAGAAACAGTTGGCATTCAGTTAACAGTCATGTTTGGAGATTTGTGACTGACTTTGTTATTCCAAGGGAAGCCAGGTACTAGTCTCTTGGGATTAGGTACAAAGGCAAGAAAAAAAGTGGACACGTATGAATCTCAAAGGTGACTGCTGGGTTAATAAAACAGTCTGTTTTCTGTTCACCCACTCTTCCTCTCAGTGTGCAAGTACATTAAAATGTGTCAAAAGGAAAGCCATTTGCTGGGGAAAAATAATTCCGCTAAAAGTCAAAATTTCCAGCTGGTGTGTTACCTTGGTGTGTGCAAGTGAGCTAACAAAGTGACCCATACATCTCACTGGATGAAAGTTGGTATCCTCATTAAAGTAGAAACAAACACTTGAAAACAGGAACAACTGCCAGTTTAAAAAAAAAAAAGGACCACAACAGAAATGAGAAGCCTTCATTTCTCCCCATTCTGCTTCCTACTTGCTCTATAGCAGATACTATATATATTTAAGCAACCACTTGAAAAGTAATGAAGGCAAAATTGATTCTGTATGCAGTAACCATTCCCATTTGCTGGAGGAATTGCGTTGCTAACAACCATCCACATTACCATTCTATGTTTAGAAGAAGAAATATTTTCACAGTCCGGTTTCTAAACTGCCACACAGAGACAAGGATTGGTTCCTGCAAAGAGTCACCCTTTCAAAAGTAAATAGCTCTGGGGAAAAAAACTTATATCTGAACTACTCACAGTAAATAGTATTAGCCTCCAACTCTTCAAAATAAAAGCACATTTATACTAGTGTATACTGCCTTTGCCCCCAGGAAAAACAATGAGGCTTGAACACAATCACTAATTCACTGCAGTGTGAAGGTTTTATGTAATATGAACAGCATGAGACATTAGATCTCCGGTTCCTTGGCCCAAGCCCTGGCAGAAAGCACTATCAGTTAAACAGAAAGCAAAATGAGGGAAGTGGTACACCACACTGTGAGAAACCCTTTTTTTTATTGATGACAAGATTTTTCCTTCGGGTTGGAAAGAAAAAAAAGGAATAAAGAAGTTTTCTAAAATCTCTAATAACCACAGCAGAGTTTATTATGATGTACCACAAAATCCCATCATGTGTGAGATTGGAAAGACCTCTGGGGATCATCTAGTCCAGCTGCCCTGCTCAAAACAGGATCAACCACAGTATGTTGTTCAGGGCCATGTTGAGTTTTAAATATCTCCAAGGACAGAGACTCCACAGCCTGCCCAAGTAACCTATTCCAGTGTATGACCATGCATACATTCTTTTTTTTTTGTCATGAGGAATTGAAATTCCGCCCATTACAGTTTGTGCCCATTGACTCTTGGCCTGTCATTGGGCACCAAGACCCTGGTTCCACATTTTGTCCTCCCAGTCCAGCAGGTATTTATACATACATGAAATTCATCCTGAGCCTTCTGTTCTCCAGACTGAACAATGGTAGCTCTTTCACTCTCTTCTCATAACTCACAAACTCCAAGCTCTTTAATATCTTTGTCCAGCCCCTTGCCAGACTGACTCCAGTACATCCATGTCCCTCTCATACCACGCAGCCCAGAACTGAACCCAGCACTCCAGCTGTAGCCTCCACAGTGCTCAGGAGAGGAAAAGGATCACACCCTTAATGTAGTGATGCAGTGTGGTCCCTGATGCACCCAAGGTGAGGCTGCTGGGTTTCCTTGCTGAAAGGGTGTGCTGTGGGCTCATGGCCCACCAGGACCCCCAGGGCCTTCTCTGCAAAGCTCCTTCCTAGATGGTCAGTGTCAGCCTGCACTCGTTCATGCAGTTACTTCTCCCCAGGTGCACTGGAAATTTGGCATTTCCATTTGTTGAATTTTTTGAGATTCCTGTCAACCCATTTCTCTAGATAGTCCCTCTGAAGAGCAACACAATCATCTCATAGAGCAAGCAGTCCTCCTGATTCTCTGTAGTTTGGAAAATTGAACTCTGTCCCATCATCTAAGTTATGAATGTAGATTTTAAGCTATACTGGACTCAGTGCTGAGCCCTGAGGAACACAACTAGTTACTGGTCTCCAGATAGTCTTTGCAAAGTTGATCACGACACTTTGAGCTCAGCAGTTCAGCCAATTTTCAATCTAATCACCAGCTACTGTCTATTTAAAAATTCATCAGTTTGTCTGTGATGACACTGTAGGAGAGAGCTTCAAAGGCCTTATGAAAGTCAAGGTAAACAACACCCACTGCTCTAAGGTGGGTCTACCAGGCTAATAATCTCACTGTAGAAGTCTATCAGGTTGGTTGTGCATAATTTTTCTTTTTCTTTAGTCTTCATTTTGCTGTTGATCTACCTGTAGAAACAATTCATGACTCTCTCCAGAGACAATGCCAAAAAACCCAAACAGCCACTGCCTTCATGCCTGAAGTGGTCATGCAGTCAGACTAGATGATCGCTGTAGATCTCTTCCAACTGAACTATTCTATTCTATTCAAATGGAGATTATTAATTTAGCCAATGTTTCAATGCGTATCAACAGGGCCTTTTAAAATGTGCATTATGTTTCTGGCACATAGAATTCCTTCCCTGTTATGCCAACACCTGCTTGGGGTCCTTCAAAAAAAATTTTACGAACCTGTTAAACTATAATAATCACTAAATAGCTGTTATGCACTAATACATATCGAAGAACAAAACAAAAATTTTAAAACATTATGTAGAACATTTTTGGTTGTGCCAGCAACAGCAGTGGAGAAGAACAAAGCCTTGGGAGATTTTTCCTTTTGACCAAGGCTCTGTCAAGGTATTTTTTACCAGTTAGTACACACTAAAGAGAAACTGTAACTGCATAAAAATGCAAGTTTCAACACTCCAGCATCCCCTCTTCTTTTTGCTCACAAAATAAACATCACTTCTGAAACTTACTCCACTAATATTGACCCCTGCAATTCTGCGTAGAGCAATGCTTGAGTGTCTAGAATAATTGTCAGGACAGGGATCTGGCTTTGCTCTTTCAGAGCACCTTCAACTGAGGCTCTGATATTATTTACATCACAAAAACTACAGTGCAGCTTCCCACAGCATTTCCTTCCAATAGATACAAGCAAGAGGAAAAGCTGGGGACAGTCTAGCTAACATATCTATGCTGATTCAAAAATAAAGTGAATTGTACTATATCTCCTAATTGCTAATGTTGTTCCTTACCCAGAGAGAGTTCTTTTGTACTTTGATCCATTGTGCCTGCATTAATTACCTGTTCTACAGGTATGTGCATAGTCAGCTCCTGACTAAAGCCCAGCAAAAACCAAAGTCTTCCCATGTTCCCAGGTCACCTTCTTCTTGTGCCTGAGCACCAGGCTGCCTCAGCCAAGGGACTAGCTAGTGTTGCTTCCCAGCTGTTCTGCAGTGTGAACGATTTCTCTTCTTTACCTCACTGGCCCCCTCTCCTTTTTTGGCCAAACGAATTCAGCGTGAATACCTACAAAGTTCTGAAATATGAAAACTGAGAATATGGCTGTACCTGACCCTTCCTGGTCACTGCAGTTTTATCATGCCTGTTTGGTGGTCACATTTGCATACTAAAAACCTAATCTTGCAGTCCTTTTGCAAACTAAACTCCCCATTGACTGATATGTCTTTTGTATTAAAAAATTTACTGGCTATGCAGAACAGCAGCTCTGAACAAAGGAACTTAGTAATTTTTCTTTTAGTTTTCCCTTTCAAAAATGCCCTAAGGCAGTCATCTATTTCAATCAATGGAAGTCTGAAACGTTCAGTCAAAAAAAATCTAGTTTTGCACCAATAGAAACATAAAAGACATCTAAAAACCAAAAATATTATTTTTGTACACATTGAGGACCAGATGTCTTCACATTTCATTGACTTTTTGTTAACTCTTTACTTGCCAACTTTTTGCCTGGAGTTACTTCTGACAGTGAAGGAATCTGTGTTTAATAAGGAATGCATACTTATGATCCTTTAGTTATGTTAGTGGGGAAACAGGAGGACAGCCACATATACAAATGTTATGTATAACAGACATACAGACATTTCAAATATACTTCCATTTATAATTTATTCATTTATCTCAGCAATTTTGCAATCAAAATAGTAAAAAGTAAGTTGAATTAGTATTTTGAAACTGAAATCCAACTTAACTTACATGATTTGCACAATATCTGACAAATAGCTAAAAAAGAAAATCCTACAGTCATTTAAAATATAATTTGCCTCTACCTGATGTGCTTTCTTCTGAAGTGATCAAGTAGTATCACCAAAAAAAAAAAGTAATATATTTTTCTTTTTTTTTAATATATAATTTTGGGCTTTCAAAATTTTCTCCTCAGACTATCAAGTCAAAGAATTCCAATGAAAGCCAAAAAGTTTGAAAGTTTCATTAAAATATATGAGTTATTTCAAAGTAAAAAATCTCATAAGAATTTTGCATGAAGGTTAAGTTTAAATGCAAGGTTATAATATAATACAATAATATATATATAATATAATATATATTTATATATAATATAATAATATAATATATAATATAATATAATATACTGGTTTGGAAATATTCAAATGTAATCCAATATAACCATAACTCTGATCTGAAGCAATGGCAAGGAATAAATGTGTATTTATGTTGGTAACAGTTTAGTACTTGCAACTCTGGAAAAGATAAAACTGATTTTTAAAAATTCGATACAATTTATGTAATTCAAAGTTTGGCTTTTTTGTTTTTTTTTTTTAATTTCTCGTTGGAGTAAAATATAAGATACGGAAATTCTGAAAGAAAAAAAAGTTTTACATTGTACAAAG